CATTCCACATTCATTCCAACTTTCGAATACCGGCGAAATTGAACATGAGAACATATGAACATTGAACAATGAAAAGTGGGCTTCAGCCCTAGTATATTTTAATAACAGTAAGAGAAAACTAAAAATATTTTATGCAGACGTCCAGTCAAATGAACAAAAATTTAACTTTTATAAAATAAGAAGAGTTTATGTTAAAAAGCAGATAATGCATTAAATATATAGATTCTGAACACAAAAAATAAAGAATGAATGAATAAATTTTCAAAAAGTAGAAAATGCACATATTTTGCCTTTGATTATCTGCCAAAAAAATAAGTATTATTTCTTTGCACATTAACTAAAAAATCAGGAAAAGATACAGATATTTGTTTCACTAAATCTGTGCTTGTATAAAACTCTTTTGCAATAGAAAAGAAACAGAAATCTGAAATCAGCAACATAACATGTTTATACTCAAATCTTAATAGATTTGTAAGACTACATTTTAAATGCTTATATTTTCCTTTGATCACAAACTATTTTTAAATAAATTAGCTGTATATCTTCCAGAGCTCACTTTTTAGAGTCAGGGAGAAGGAAAAAAATTAATAAATAACTAATAAAATAACAAACTAACTAATAATTAAAGGAGGAAAGTGCAGAATCACCCACTGTTTGGCACATTTTTAAGAATTACACATACTCAGTATCCATGTACACATTGACCTATTTTCACTTGAAAAAAATCCCAGAATTGCACAAAAACGGCATTGCGCACTCCCTTGACTTTATCCATGTACACATCGACCTATTTTCACTTAAAAAGTCAAAGAAAATTGACAAAAATCCAATTATTCTTACTCCTATAAAAAGCGCCAAACAAATAAGTGGGCGATTCTGCACTTTACCCAATTAAAGTAATAAACTAATTTAAATTCAATAAATGTAAAGAAATAAATACAAATTTAATATTTTATTAAATTAATGGGTAAAAGTTTACAATTGGGTGCCCCATGTTCTTTGGCGATTCTTTTTTGACGCCAAGAGGGCATAATTTTTAGATGGCCACTACAAAACCAAAATAAGAAGTCAAAGAATTGCACAAACTCTGTCCATGTACACATCGATATGTTTTCACTTAAAAACAAAATATCCTAGAATTGCACAAACTACGCACTGCCTTAAATCTGTCCATGTACACATGTACATGGACAAATTTAAAACCATGTACTCATCTATTTTCATCTAAATAAAATCAGAAAGCTAAAACAAAGTTAAAACTATCATGGTAACCAGAAGTGAGGTTTCATTGGCATTTCATTTTTTTTAAATTGTCGCTAATTGAAGGGGCACCCAATTCTACACTAGAGCCAATTAAAATTAATGATAAATAGTTAAATAAAAAAAAATGAAATATCAGACCTCATCTTATTTGGTACTCTGGCTGAACTTATAATTTCATTAAAAAATTAAGAAATAGTTCAACCACCCTCCAGCTGAATTTGTATCTATATAACACACTATTTCAACAACTGATAGAACCAAAATCCATTCTTTTCTCAGCATATAAATGAAAAAATGTAAAAGGATTAAACATTATGAGAATAGAGAGAATGCTAGAAATAATATGAAAGTATGAAAGGAAATTGATTTTTTTGTTTCTGAATTACCGTATGGGAAAAAGAGGAGCAAAAATAAACATTTTTTATTCATATGTGTTAAATAAGTTTTTAATGGAAATTTTTACCCTTTTTTATCCTCTATTTTTCTAATTCTATATTGCTTCCCCCCCACACACACACACATTAGATTTTTTAATTTCTAAATTTATGTAACATTTTGTGCATGTATTAGTTCAGAACCAGTGGCGTAAATAAGGGTATGCAAGGAATGCAGTCGCATAGGGGCCCGAAGGCTTGGGGGGCCCATGAATGTCCTGCTGAACTACATTTACATATTTAAAATTAAAACACGTATAAAAATCATGTATTCGAGTAGTTTAGTGTACCAAAAAGTTTTCTTAAAAGAAAGGGGGCAAAATTTACCATACATATTTTCTACAAAAATTGTATGTTAAAATAGTTTTCTCTATGAAATTTATAAATATGTTTTATATTTAACAAATGTATCATTTACATTATAAACGTTCTTATTTATGACTTGTATATTATTGCACAAGTCATGTTCGTAAGCTCAGTTGATCACAGAGCGCTATATATTAGTGTAATTTCTTTTTTGTACGTTTACCTATCATGTTGTTTGTCAGCTTATAACATAACCAGTTATTTGCTAGCTTGCTAAATTAAGCGAAAAAAAACTTGGATTGGCGCAGATTTTATATAGAAACTCGAAATATACTTGCATGTAAAACCTACTGGTTTTTATTTAAAAATCTCTGCAAATCTAGACTTTCTTTCCCCCTTCTTTAAGCACAGTAAATTTATTTTTTTAGGGGGGGGGCAGGAAAAGTTTTTGAACAGGGGCCCAAGAGTTCTAGCTACGCCACTGATTGCTTACTTACTACAAAAATTAAACTTTGTAAAAGCTTAAATCCCCTTTTTAAATCATAAAATTAGATAAAAATTTTAATTTGTGCTGTTAAGTATAGAATTTTAATTCATGAAATTAAATTCTAACTATTGTATATGTAACCCTGATGAAAGAAATGATTTCCTAAATAATTATTTAAGATGTATTTATTTTTAATTAATTATTTTTTAATCAAAATGATACTGAAATTTCTTATTAAAGAAATATATTCGAATATTCAAGTTTCTCCATAATGATCTACAATATGAATCACTTCAAAAATTAACTTTAAAAATTCTATTCAAACAGAAAAATTTAATTTATTCTTTTTAACCCCAAAAGAAAAATACTCAAAAGCTTTCTTACAAATTACAAGAAAATTAAACCAAGAAATCTTGTTTAGAATTCTTTAGAATTACAGCTCAAGTTTCTACAAACTGGTTTCATATTTTCAGTACAATTCTGTTGATTCTATTCCCATTATAAACATTTTTTACATGACATAATACCTATATATATATAGCTACAGAAGTTTTATCTAAAATTCTATAAAATTCTACAGAACATCTTAGTTTATGGGAAATTTGGCCATAATTCTAAAAGATTCTGGATGTTCAACAGATTCTTTTTAGCATTCTATAAATCAACTTTATAAGAGGTAACCTGTATGCTACATTTAGGAAATATCGGTAAAAGTATAGTTTAGGGTACCCCTTGGCGATTTTCGGCGGTACATGGATACCGATTTTGTGCAATTCTTTGACTCGGTATTTTGGCTTGCGAAGCGGAAAATCGCCGCTACAAAAAGCCAAAATAACAAGACAAAACAATTGAACAAACTCAGTATCCATGTACACATCGACCTATTTTCACTTAAAAGAAAAAATCCCAGAATTTCACAAACTTGCATTGCGCACTCCCTTTACTTTGTCCATGTTCACATCAATATATTTTCAAAATTTGGTTAATCTTTGGATTATGGTAAGTTGGGGATTTTTTGATGAAAATTTGGCGACCAACCCTGCTACAGCAACCGGCTAATTTTTGTTTGGACGCCATTTTGTTTTCACGAAGTAAAGATATTTTTTTTTTTTTTTTTTACTCAAGATTTTTTCCAACAATCTGCTAGCCGAATTACGCTTATGCTAGAACTTTTATGGAACAAAAGTGCTTAATCATGACAAAGATTACTTGCGAAATTGAGACAAAGTGCGGAATCGCCCACTGCTTGCTGCATTTTTAAGAATTGCACATACACGGTATCATCCATGTACACGTCGACCTATTTTCACTTAGAAAAACATTGGAGAATTGCACAAAAATGGCATTGCGCACACTCTTGGCTTTATCCATGTACATTGCTAAAGTCCTAGCTAGTAACCTTTATCGCCTTACCAAAATGTCGCCAAACTACCTGTTACCATATTCCAAAGGATTAGCTATTTAAAGTAAAAGGAGCACCAAATTCTACAATGTACGCAAACAAAAAATACATAATCTCAATAAAATACATTTTAAACCAAACAATAAAATAACATAAAAAAGGAAAAACATGTTATACATTTAAGCACTACCAAAAGCATATATTCACTTACCATGATTTTGGAGTTCACTTCGTAAACCCAGAGCCACGTAAAAACAAAAATATTAATAATACTCAAATGACTTTTTTCAAACCAGGTACTCTTTTTGATCGAACGCTTCACATAGTGACCATCTGAACCTTTCTTCCTACAAACCCATTCAAATCCATCTAAACAGTTTTTACATTCGACTAGACGCATATCCTTCCTACATACAGGACACTTATAATGGCTACTAAGTAAACCTTCATTTACACACCAGTCAATTAAAGCTCCCTTTCACTCCAAATCGTACAGAAACTTCAAATTAATCTTACTACATTCATCCATTCTACGTCTAAAGAATCAAACCAACCCACACCACAAAAACGCTTACAAAACATCCCATGATTCAAAATTTCCCAGAATCATGCACCCAATTAAGTTACAATAGGGTTTCCATACCATTTACCTACTCAGGCTTCGATAAATGAAACAACAACTTGGCGATAAATCAAACAACTTCGCCATAATACAAGGGGTACCTTAAAATCTACTTTACCTGGAAATATCATATTAGCAAATGCGTCATTCAGTAATATAATTTCTAATTTTTTTTTTTTTTTTTAAGCAAAATTTTAATTCTGCAACAATTAAACAAAATAGCATACTTCAATACATTAAGTGCAGGAAATCAGGAAAGAATGTTATTAATCTTATAAAATATATAAATTTCCCTATTATTTTTACAGAAACAACCGTGGTAATTTGAAATATCTCTACCAAAAAAAATTTATCCTAACAGAGTTTATGACTATAGAATTCAAAAACTATATGTATTTGTTTATGGCATTTTAAAATCAAAATGTAATATAAATGATTATTTATATTTATTCATAAGATCCATAAAAAAGTGTAAAAGTACTAAACCTTTTTGCTTCAGTTCCTTCATCAGATATTTTAGAATGAAGAAATATAGGATATAACTTTACAGAACCTAAAATCAAATATAATGAGTAAAATACCATGAACTAAACAGTCAGCTTTTCTTAAAGTATAATTTCATTATTCTTTAAACAATAAGAAATTTAACAAAAATGTTTCAAATATTGTTAAAAATATTACTTCAAAATTTTATTTAGTATTATATTTCAAATATTAAAACTCAGCAAAAGACAGCTTACTTGAATTTTCAGATGCATTTTTATTATTCTTATCATTTACTCGAACATTCAGAGTATGCTGCATAAGTCGTCTTTTATAAATTTCTCTTTCCCTGTTTTGTCTTTCTAATAAGACTTCATCTGGTGGCCAGTCAAATTCAAATTCAAATGGGTTAGAATTTTCTTTTGAACCTGTACTTACATTCTGCTTACTTGGCACTTTTTTGGAATGTTCTGCTGTTGGAAATTCTCTATTTTCAACTGATGATAATTGCATTCTCTCATTAGAAAATTCTGATGGAAGTTTCTTATTCACAAATTTACATTTCTCAGGTATAGGGGTATCATTTTCACAAACTCTCTCTTCATCTTTTTTATCATTCAATTCTGAATAGCACAATTTCTTACCATTGTCCAGTTGCACCACAGAAGTTGAATCTAGGCGAAGATTTTTTTCCCATAATGGTATAGTGATATTAGTTTTTTCAAGATGGTCAGGAGAGCGACTCCTAAAAAATTTACGATCTTTACAAGCAACAGTCCTTTTTTCCAGAAGGTGAGTTATGGCACAATGTAATTGAGGGTTATTTTCTTTTTTTGGAGCATGAGAGATGTATTTTGCTTTAGTGAGCAATGAATGCTTTCTTTTTGGAAAATGAGATGTCTTCTTAAACTGTCCTAACGAATTTTTCGTTTTTTTACGTATACGTTCAGAATTTTGATCCGATGAAATAGGACATTCCAATGACAAATCCACTTTCCTCAACTCCCTTAACTTCTTCCTCTGCAAAGGCGTCAAATAACCCGATTTACATAAAGGAGAATAAAAATTGTCGACATTATTTACATATTCCCTAGTATTTATACTCTGGTTCTTCATTATACGAAGTCTGCTAAAAGTTCATGGATCATTAAAAGCTCGTACTCGATAAAAATACGTGTAATCTTAACTTTCGTGTTAAGCTAAATCAGATCGCATTCGAAATTTCGCAAAAAAGTTCGCGGGAATTTAAACGTTGCCACAAGAGAACAGCGACGAAATATAGCTATTGCCAAAAACGAAAACGAAACATACGTTGATTACTGTACGCTGATTAAACATCTAATCATTGTTATTCGGCGTGTCATTTATATTTCTTGTATGAAAACCTCCTCACCTTTTTCAATACCATTTAAAAGTCCAACGAGACAAAATTCAAAAATCGGAAGAATTTCGGTTATTTGTAAGGAAAGCCAAATTAAAGTTGTAACTAAACTGTTTGGAACAATTTTTCTGCCTTGTCACGACAGCCAATCACGATAGATCGCTTTGGGGTTAACACAGGAGAAACAAAGCAAACGAGCTGATAGCTGATTGATTGAAAACGAACAATTTGCAATTTTGGGGGAAAGGAAGGAAAAAGTCGCACGTCCTTTCTTTCAATGGTAAACCAGGCAGAAAAATTGTCCGAAACAGTTGTTCGTGTGAAACAAACGCCGTGTGATATGGGCCTTAAGTGTACAGGAAACACGCATTGCAACTTGGAAACTCCACTTGCTGGTTTTAATAGAATTAATTTCATAATCTAAGGAAATGCATTCGGAATAACCCTTGAAATTCGGAATAACATAATTACGTAAGCTGGCAAAAGCTCAGAATGCACTGCACACACAGAATTTCGTGATGTCTCGCCTTCAACCACGTCTGGCATGGAGGTAATATTTTCAAACTAATCAGCTTCAGTAGGTAAAAGTAAGGCTCCTCTAAACCAGGCTGAATCACCAACTTTTCTCTCTTGGCGAGGGAGGGAACGCGCTACCAATTTTGGCGCGTTTATCGCACACGCTGGCTGAATGTCTGCTGTTTTTTTTTAAAGATTTTATTTTATAGACGCGCGGCATTCAGCGCACATAAACTTTTTCGGATAATTAATTAATTCTCGAATAGTATATAGACGTTTTCACTTAAATAAAAATTTCGCGTATATTTTGTAAACATATTCAAAATAACTTATTCTTTAGATGTTTCAGTTTCGTTAGCAGACTAAAATAAATAAGATATATGAATAAAAACTTTCAATAGTGTCAAATGGGGTAAATAGTTAAAGCGTAGAGTGTGCAAATAAATTTATCTTAATGACATTTTAACAAAAATTTCCATAAAAACACTGTAAATTCATACTACAAAAAATAACTTAAGAATATGTTGTCATTTTAGTCTGAGGTATCTGGAAATAATTGTGCAAGACTCTGAAGAAACACTTTCTTTTAAATGTGTGAAATATTTCATAACATATATGGAAGAAGAAAGTACAAGCATTCTGTGTTTTGGATGACTTTTCACCAAATGTAATATAAATACGAACTAGAAACCGTAATAAAAAGTCCTTCCTCTCCAATCAGATCACCTTTGTGTTGCATTGTATTTGTAATACTTCTAAAAATCCAATTTTTACCTAAATTAAAAAACGGTTATTCCATAAAAGATAATAAATTTGAAACGTATATAGAATGAATTTTGTAATTTGAGTTATGTTACAAAATAATTCATAGTTTATATATTTTATACTAATAATTTAGATAAAACCTGTCCAATTTAAGAATGTGTGTTAACCACATTCTTAAATTGTAAAAGGATGACTTAACCACATGTAATTCATTTCAAAGCATAAAAGAAAGCTTATTTTTTATTTTACACAGCAACAGCATTTTCATGCAGTCAAGTTTTTTTTAATTGTTAGTTTTATTATACATAATACTTAATTTTTAAACACATTCTTATTAGAAAGCATAACTAAGAAACTTCTTTTTAAAGCCCCACAGTAATTGCAAAGAATGTCGTTAAATTTACAAAAGTATTGAAGATATATTGAACACAGCATTATAACAAGAAACTACTGTACAAAATATGTAAATTTAACATAACTTCTTTTTTAGTATTTGCATAGTTTTCCTCCAAATGAACCTTAATGGGAAGTTATCTTGCAAAAATTTAAAAGTATTAAATGGCCTCTATTTAAGATGTAACTGCATTTATAATTATTTTGTAATTGTGAATAGATTATATTATTGCAATTAGATTATGCACTTACAACATAATTGCATAAAGTAATGAAATTAAGAGTTCACAGATACAATGTAATATAATTACAAAGCAATTATCTAAATTGTAATTATAATCACTTATTTAATACCACAATATTATTACAATCACAATGTAATTTAAATTGGGTACTACAATTGTATACCTCTCCACTCAAAAGGAGGTACTGATAAAGCCTGGAAGTTATTATCAACAAAAAGCCTGTTCAGGACAGTTTGATGACAATTTCCACCGGGCGCGAAAAGTACATTTCTTAAGCCCAGGCAAATCATGACAATAAAAATCATTTAGTCTCATGATGCACTATATTTTCACTATATTTTCCATGTAATTCGCAACCCTAAATTTGAATTCTGCACCAAATTATTTACCTATATTTTAATATACTTTATGAATTATTAAAGCGATATGGCAAAATATCTTCTAAAAATAACTGTAAAATATTTGTATCCATTAATTGATTCAGATACACACTTTTATTATTTAAGTATATCAAAATAACAGTTTCATGTTCCTGAAATACAAAAAGTTATGAAAAAAGTTAAAAGTAATATTCTTAGAAGCATATGATATTAGTCACCAGCTGCAAAAAACAGTTAATTTTTTGCCCTAAATACAAGTTTATTACACAGTAGTCATATGTGTAACTTAATAACATGGTATATAAAAATTAATGATAATAAGTTTATCAGAAATGAATTAATTCTGCAAAATAAACTTTCTGCATTTGAAAATTTTCTACACCTGAGGGAGGGAGAGATCTAGTAAAATTAGATTTATTATAACTTCAGTTGGGACCAAATACCTTCTCTCTCTATATATATATGCATCACTAAAGAAATAAATAAAATTATCATGCTTAAAAAACAGATGTACCATACCAGTTTTTTTTTCCCCTTGTTACCCTTTACATTGAGAAATAACAAACAGTACAACGCTGAAAAATACTATCTGTTGAAAATTTTACTTTGAATTTGAAGAAAACACACACCATCTTTTTATTTAAGCATTACAACTTCAAAAACAGATACACATACCAATTTATTTTCACTAGCCTTTATACTGAAAAATAACATGCCGTATAAAAATGAAAGACATTCCTTGAAATTTAGATAAAATGAAGAAACACATACCATCTTTTATTCATGCATTACTAAAATGAATAAAACGATTATTCTTCAAAAACAGGATACACATAATTACAGGATACACATTCTGACACAATTCATGAAGATTCACTGAAACACACATCATCCAGAAAATTTATGCACACTGGACGATGGACTTTTATCTTTTTTCTATTGCATGTTGTCTGACATGATCCACAACGTGCCTAAAAATGTACCCAAAGAAACACATTTCAATATTAACAAAAAATTGTTGTACAGATTAAAATTAATTAATTTCATAGAAGTATTATAAAGAACATGCATGAAACAAATTTGCTTTCCCATACTATTTAGTAAAACTTAACTGAAATTTTATACTGGAAAATATGCTATATATTTCTATATATTAGAAGCAAGAAAATAATACCATTATAATATACTCATAACCCAGGAGAAAGTAACACATATAACATGAAACACAGAAATTTATATACTCATAACCTAGGAAGAAGTAATACATATTACATAAAACACAGAAATTATTTATTATAAAACATACATATCTTCTAAATTTATTTTATTTTACTTTTTGTTTCTTATTGACTGATACTGATGAATATGAAACATTATGGGCTCTTTTGTTGATAAGATGCTGTGTAGGGCCTTTGCATCTGGTAATTAAAAAAATATCAATAATTACTTTCTTAAGATTACAGCATTCTGGCTTGGTCCCATGCGTACATTTATCAATTATTCTTTAAATTAATTCTTTTGTGATTGCTGATTGTAAATGAAGGAGTACATCTTTACATTTTTGAATTCTTCGTTCAGCTTCCCTACATATTTGATACATTCCTGAAGAGATGACCTTCAGTCCACCTTTATTGCTATGTTTTGTAAGAATTGTGCGATGCTCGGGTATGTCAGGTTCCAGCATGTCCTCTGAAATGGTCATAGCTGTTTTACAATTTTCACATATGCTTTTTTTTTTCAAAAACTTATTATATATGGCTCCTGCGATGTAATGTATATCATTTTCTTCCACAGCTGGGGGCAAGCGACGTTTCACTGCCACTGCAGAAGAGGTAGATGGCACTACAGAATTGGAGATAGGATGCAAGACCTCCTTTCTGATAGCAACCTCTAATTCAGAAGCATCAAAGAGGCTGTGGTCACTTTCAGAACAATAATTTGGATTATTGGATATCTGAAATGAACTGTGATAGGCACACTAATTTCAGTGCTCTATTGGCTTGCAAAGCAGTAGGCTTTGCACCCGACTTTCGTTCTAATCTGTGAAAAGGCATTTTCCAGCGCATCTTGTGTCAACCTGCCTGGTAAGAAAAATGTAAACCCCTCGGAAATAATTCTTTTGAGAGTTTCACAACACTCAATGTGCTCATAATAATGCCAGTTTGAAATGGCTTCCATGCTTTCCCAAACTGTACAGTTTCAGTCACATGAATGAATTTCAATAAAATATTAAATTTCTCATCTTGATTTTTGATAGTGATGCCTTTTTTTTGGATGCCTTGCAGTCATAATTGTAAACCATTCTGCTACAAGTCTTCAGTCCACCATGCAAGAAGTTAATGCTTCTTTTTTGCAACTTGGTGTAAAATAACTGCTTTTTCAATAGCAGCAGCTGTTTTTTACAGAAAACAATTGCACAGCAGATGCCACATTCATCGAAGGAAAAGTGTGTTGGGAAGAGATGAACTCTGTTCAAGGTGATGTAGGAGATCTCAGGGCAGCATCTGATTCTATCTCACTTGAACCAGTCGTTGTTTCACATACACTGAAGATACTATCCTCGATGGCAAGGCCATGTTGCTG